TAAGGACAAGGACCAAATGAAGTTGTCGAGCCCGGGCCTGCCACATCCCACTCCGAGAGCGTGGGCAGGGAAGCTTGCCCCCTCTGAGGCCTGGATGCCCCTGTGTGCACTAAGAGTTGGCCTTTTCAGCAACCCTTGAACTCAGCCTTTGCTTACTTCCTACAGGAGGAGAGTGACTCTGGGCCTGCCAGTCCTGCTGATAGTGAACACGGCTCTGGAGATGAGGGGGCCCCGGGCAGGCTGTTGTGCCTCCAGACTCCCACTTCAGACTGGGCCAGCTCTATCTAGCCCAAGCTGGACATGGGGTGGAAAAATGGAGGCAGGGTTGAGGCGAGGACTGCTGGTGTCCCAGGCCTGCCCTGCTGGAACAGCCGGCCCAGACCTGCTTCCCAGCCATGGGCCTCAGAACTCTTTCCAGAAACCCCAGGCCTGGCTTCTTTGAGGAGGGCCGGCATCCCTCCCGCCCCTGTCTGCCTAGGGCCTTACTGCTGACCACCCGGGGTCCTGTGAGTAGTAGGCCGCTCAGCCTCTGCAGCACGTGGCCCCACGGGACCAGGTCGGGACGTGACGTAAGGCTCCCACAGCTGCTGGCCCTGTGGCACTTGTGTATATTGTCATGTGTGGCCCCTAGGACGGCCTCTGAGTTAGAGGTGACTGTCCCCAGTCTGTAGGCCTGGACCCTGGAGCTCAGAGAGGTCGCTTGTCCAAGGTCGCATAGCCCATGAGTGGCCAGGCCAGCCGGGACCGAAGCCCAGCTTACCTGTCCCCAGAGCCCTGCCCTTGCCCAGTCCCACCCTCAGGTCTCCCCGTTCATGGGAGGGACACACTGTGTCTGCTCGCTCTCTCCTGGGACCCCCTGCAGGGCAGAAGGAGGCAGCCTGGGGTGGTCAGGACCGCACAACCAAGCCTGCACGGTCCACGGTGGCTGCCTATGCCTGCAGGATGGGGAGCTCTGTGCTTGGGGTGACCCTAGGCCCCCAGGGTCAGAGCCTTGGGGAGTCAGGCTGGACCAGAGACAACACCTGGTGCTGCCTGCCAAGGATGCCGCCCTGCCCTTCCTGCAGGCCCCAGACAGCAGACACAGCCATCTGTGCAAATCTGAGGGGATGTGTGGGGTTCCAGGGCTGGACAGCGCCCTGCTGCTGGGGCCACTGGACAGTGACGAGACACCTTGCATGGATGTCTTCATACGCCAGAGAGCAGGGGCTGGAGGTGGGGCCCTGAGGCTCTCAGAAGTTGCCCTGGGCACAGACCTGGCTCGCCTGGGAAAGCAGGCCCTTGGGTGGTCATTCCCTACTCCCAACCTGCCAGCCCGCTGGGACTGGGCATCCTCTCGCTCCTGGTAGGAGCACCACAGTGATGTGGGCACGGACGGTGTGGCCAGGGCAAGCCGGCAGCTCTCCGGCTCCTGGGGCGGGATGATTTGTCCTCTCCCCCCAGACACCCTGGGGGCTACCACAACCCAGATTCTCACTGCCGGATCCCCACTGTTGGAACCGGCCTTGGGTCTGTCTGGAACGGGGCTGGAATCCTGCAGCAGGAGAACTTGTCTAGCCACCCTCGGGCAGGATGCCCTTGAGCTCCCTCCTCCACATTCCCCAGAGATCTCGCATGTGAACAAGGCGGCCTTTTCTTGAAAGTGTACAGACAGGAGACTCTGTGGCCCTGACCTGCATGGCCACATGGCCAGAGCGTGACTCACAGCCCAGGAAGCCACCGGAAACTCTGGAAGGGTGGTGTTTTTATTATAGAAGGTTCTCCCTTTCACTTTGCCATTATCTGAGAAGCATGAAAGAGAGACCCTGGCCCAGAGGGGTTTCTAAGATGTCCCTGAGCCGTCCCAGCCAGCAAGCAGTGGCTCAGGGAGGGGATAAGAGGCTGCCTTCCAGCACCTTCCTGCGGCTGTCTCCACTATGCCTCCCTCCCCGAGGTACTTGAAATCAAAGCAGGCTGGCCTCCAGCCCCCAGCAGCTCCCTCCTGGTCCCGGTGAGAGGAGGAGCTAGTGGCTCTCCCCAGACTCTTCCTCAGAGGCCTCATGGCATGAAAGCTGGGGCTGGGGTCTACAGGCCATGGAGGGGACAGTGGTGGCTAGGGCTGCAATTGTGCAGGACGGATGCCTTGTGGTTGGCACAGACCCGCCCCGGACTAACCAAGGCGTACAGTTGTCTTCTCATAGCGGCCCTTATCCTGCTTGGACTTAGGGAGAAACTACCAGGAATGATTTTAAGGTCACAATTAAAATTCCTGTTTGCCTTGGGCAGATAACTGTGGATTGAATGAAGAGGGATTAATACAGGAAAAGGCTCATCTTAAGACAAAATGGAGCTGTTACTGATGGAGATGGGGAGGGCCCGGGGCTGGGCGCGTCAGAGCCTGCTTCAGGTCTCCGCAGGGCCCTGTGTGCACTGGGAAGGGCCAGGCAGCCGCCCTGCCACACTGAGCCTCACCTTCGCCAGGTGTCAGACAAGGTGGGATCCCGAAATCCCTGCCCTGCACACAGCAGGGAGAGGTGGATGGCTGTATGTGACAGACAGACGGAGGACACTCTGAAAGGCGAAGGGCCAGGTGGATGCCGGCCGTGCTCGGGCCGAGGCCTCAGATCTTTCTGTGGGGGCGGCGGTCTTGTTGGGAGGGTGAGACCTGCCGGTTCTGCCGACCCCCTGTGACTGAGACTACCACTCGAGGTCACTTTTTCCACCCTGGGTTGGGGCTCAGGTCCATATGTGGGTTGGGAGAGGGTGGTGATCCCCTCCTGCATGCCCTGCGTTGGGTGTCCTGGTGGAGCAGAACGCCCAGTGTACACTTGGCCCCTGGGCCTTGTGAGTTGGCCGAAGCCCAGGCTGGGCACCTGAGGAGCATGGCTGCTGGTCTCCCGTTGGTGCTCTGCCTGCCTGCTGGAAGCCAGGGGCCTGCAGCCCCCTTAAGGCCCCTGTCAGCCCGGGGAGAAGGTGGGCCCTGGTGACACACAGGCAGGGCCCAGTCCCCTCCCACTGCCCACTCCCACCTGGCGCCAGGTGAGGCCTACACCTACACAGAGGGAGGAAGGCTCAGTCACAGGCCACGTGAGGACCGCCATGAGCCAGAGCAGGCTGGAGTCCCAGCAGTGCCACCGCTCCCTGCCGGGTGGCCAGGGAAAACATGTTGTTCCTTCACAGCCAGGGAGGCACAGGCCTGGCGCGTTGCTCCTCCCTGAGCCCTGGCTCCCTCCAACCGTGTTTCTCTCTGGGTTTCCCCACTCCGAGACTCCCAACCAGGATCTCCCACCAGGCGGGTAGTGGGCAGTGGGCGGTGGGCGGTGGGCAAGCAGCTGCGTCCGGCGGAGTCCTGGGCAACCCTGTAAGATGAGCGCTTCTCATCCTCTCCTCCACGTCCAAAACCCGCAAAGTGGGTGGGCAGGGCAGGGGGCACCCATGATAAATGAAAGCAGGTGTGTGGCGGCCAGTGACTTTTGGCAGGTTGCTCTCCGAGCCTCAGTTTCCCCGCAGTAAGGTGGGGAGGACAGGTGTTGTCATGAAGCACAGCAGGACAGACCGCCACGCAGCATGGCAGGATAAGGTGCGTGGGTCCCCTTTGCTTCTGCCAGGCTTGCAGCCGGAGGGCTTGCCCCCTTCCCTGGGGTATTTTTCGTGCAGGCGAGCAGTCGCTTCCCCTAGCTCGCTCACAGCAGGCCCTGGCTGGCCTCTGCCTCTGCAACTCTGCCTCCGCGGGAGGCTCTCCAAGGGCTGGGGGCAGGCGGGCTTGGCTTGGCAGCGACGTCTAGGCAGACAGGGCCCTGTGGACACCACTTACACAGCCATCCCCACGGTCGGATGCCCCTGTGATGCCCGCTTCATTGGTCCATCTGGTGCTCAACCCGAGTCTCAGCGAGAGCAGGCCAGCTCTGTCATTGCCCTGCATTCTTGGCCAGGTCTCCTGGTGGCGCTAGCCCCCAAGGGACCGCCCGCTCACCAGTGGCAGCAGACAGCCACACACGTCTGGCTGCTCATCCCAGCCTGTGGCCAGCAGCTTCCTCGGATGTCCCAGGGCCTGTTCTCATCCAATACTCCCACAGACCTTTCTCGGCCCTGTTCCTGTCACCTCTGCTGTTTGGGGCTGAGGGGAAAGCACTTACAGTGGGGCGTTCTGCCAGCCCCGGTGAGGAGCGCAGCACAGAACCTCGGCAACAGGTAGAAGTGGTGCCACCGGAAAGTGCCCACCTCCTCAGAGGGAGAGCGGCCCCGAGGAGTGGTTTGGGAGCTGCCCAACCTTCAGTCCAGGGTGACTGCACAGAGCCTGAGCTCCTCCCAGGAAACTGTCCCCAAAGGTGCAGGCAGGCCACACACTGTCCCCACGCCAGGCTGTGTGCTGGGCCCCAGGTCCAGTGTGGGTGAGTTGGGGCCAGAGCTCAGGTGCAAAAGGCCTATTGCTCTTGCTCCCCAGCACGGTTGTGTCAGGGCGAGTCAGGCAGCCCCTCTCCCTGGGCTGGCATCACGCCCTGTCCGGGATTTACTCATCGAGTCCTGCCGTGTGCCAGTTGCTCACGCAAAGTATCTAATTGACACGACGGTCTGTGACATTCCGTCACCAGAGGAGAACTGAGGTTGGGGTTCAGGAAGGTGCCAAATCATGAGAGTGGGTCCCAAGCTGTCCAGTCTTCCCTGTACCGTCAGACTTAACTCATTCGGGGGTGTGCCTGTGACATGGAGCACCAGGACCCCTCTAAGTCCTCTGGTTCCTGAGCAGACTTGCGATCTGAGTGACGACCAGATGCCGAGTGATGCGGCTGGCCTGCTGGGGGCTGGGCCTGGGAGTCCCCCACTTCTCCCTGCACTCTCGTGAGTCGGCCAGCGTGAGAGGCCCGAGACTAGTCATCTGCCAAGGGTTCTCATACTTGGGGTTTCAGGACCTGGGCCTCCCTACACTCCCCTTAGTTGTCCCTGGGCCTGCTGACCCCCTTGTCGTCTGAGGAGCACTGAGTCCCAAGGAGCCAACCTCATTCTGTCCCTTCTGTCTTTCCCAGGGCAGCGAGGGCTCAGACCCCACCTTTGCTGATGGCGAACTTGTCCCCAGGGAGCCTGGCTGCTTCCCCGAGGATGAGGAGGAGGCTATGACACTGGCCCCACCCGAGGGCCCCTCGGAGTCAGACATGGACAGCCCCATGGAGAGCGCCCAGAGCCTGGAGGGTTCTGTGGGGAGTCCTGCTGAGGAGAAGGACGGGGGCCTCGGGGGCCTATTTCTGCCAGAGGACAAGTGAGTTAAAAATTGCCTGTAGCTTGGTACGTGGCCCGGAATGTGGGCCCAGAAATGCGGCTCTTGGAAGGTGTCTCCAGGAAGTAAACGAGACGCACCCTGCATCTGCAGCCCAGGAGCGGCTTCACGAGTAGCAGAAACTCTGAGCAATCTCAGTGCCTAACGTAGGGCAGGGTCTGGAGTTTTAGCCGGCCATGCAAAGTCACATTTCCATAAACGATATAGAATAAACTCAATTCATTTTAAAAGCTTATTACAGGGACCAGCAGTTAGCATAATGGCTATGTCGCTGGACTCCCACGTAGCTGACCGCTGTTGGAGTCCTGGACCCGGTGGCTTAAACTCACTCCGGCACGTGTGCGTGCGTGCCCAAGATCCTGAGAGGAGAATGAAGGAGAAGGGATTGCAGCGTGGCCATCCCACTCCCCCGGGGGGGTGATTTTTTGCTTTCTGTCTCTCTGTCTCTCTCTGTCTTTCTGGCAAGCACTCACACCCTATAGCAAAAAACCTCTAAAAAAAAAAAAAAAAAAAAAAAAACAATTACAAAGATGAAGTATGGATTTAGCTTTGTTTAAAATATATATACCTCTGTAACAAGATAAAAAAGCATATTACAAAGATGAAGTATGGATTTAGCTTTGTTTAAAATATATATACCTCTGTATTCGGGAATGCCAAGACAAATTATTCTAGAAAATTCGGCAGTTAATTCTGGATGGTGGAATGACTGCCTTTTTTTTTTTTTTTAAAGTTTTTGCTATAGGTGTGTTTGTTCACCAAAGAGAGAGAGAGAGAGACCACACTACAAGCCCTTCTCCTCCATTCTCCGCTCAGGATTTTAGGCACGCATGCACGTGGCTCTCAAGCTGCCGGGACTGGGACTCAAACTGAAGCTGGCCATGTGGTATCCAGCGCCTTAACTTCCACTCCGCCTGCTCGCCCATAATTGATCATTTTAATGACCTCCCATCTAATTGGCTATCTAGTCCACATTTTCTGTTTCAGTCAAGCCTTCTCCTAAATCATCAGTGTTATTTAAAAACAGTTTTAAGACCTGAGTGACTTCTCAGTGGAGTGAAGTCATCCTTGAATCTTCAGGGAAAGGGAACGGTGTGTGGTTTCTCAGCACGGGGCTTCTCAAACGCCAGTGAGAGCCCTGCTGTTCTTGGTGGGGCCTTTGGAGCTGCCCGTTGATGAAGAGCGTTCCATATTGTTTCCTGGGAGCAGCTCATCAGCCGTACCGATGACAGGCAACTCAAGAACCAGGGGTTGGACCGGCAGACAGCATGGTGGTTAAGGTGCTGGATAACACATGTGCGGCTCTATGGTTCGAGTCCTGGACCCAGTGGCTTGAAAAACACACTGGGCATGTGCTCATGTTTGCCCAAAACCCCGAGAGGAGACTGGAGGAAGGGGGTTTCAGCATGGTCATCCCTCCCAACCCAGGGAGTGCTTTCTCACTTTCTGTCTGTCTCTGTCTCTCTCTGGCACGGGCATGTACCCTATGGCAAAAACTTGGGCAGTGGGGGTGGGGGTGGGGTGGGAAGCAAGCAATGCCAGAGCCAGGGGCTGTGGACAGCCGACTGTGACCTTGTGGCTAATATCTCCATTTGTTCATCCTCATTGTTTTCTGGGGCCAGTCACCAGGAAAGCAGATGGCGGGGGTGTGAAAGAGCAGAGAGGGCGGACTGTGATAAGTTCAACCTGCAGTGCTAAGCAACCTGAGGGCAGACCGGTTCAGTTAGTCAATAAAATACGGTTGCAGTTCCAGAAAACAAGATCTTCGGCATCCTGTCACTAACAGTGTGACCGTTAGGTGGAAACTGGGGTTCCTCAGGGGCACGGTTTGAGGATGACTCATAACCCCTTCCAGGCTCTTTCACTGTGTCAGACTCAGGCTCAGTGGGGTGAGGGGAATCCCCATTCGTGAGTAATAACATACAGAAACAATTGCGAAACAGCTCAAGGGAAGATGCATTCTGGCCGGTGAGTTGTGCGTCCGTGTTCTTAGGTTGTAAATGGGCCTTTGCCAGGCCCCTACGACTGTCCCAGACTACACCCACAAGAGCCCCTAGAGCCCCTCTAACCTGTATTCTTTGGGATGAGGCATTTTGGGACCAGGAATCCCCTCCATAAACTGGGGAGAGCTTTTGCCTTCATAGCTCATTATTTATTTAAAAACTTCATTTCATTATAGGAAGTGTACTTGCTAATTAAACAAAACTTGAATAAGGTAGGAAATGTAAGGATGGAGCTTATAACCCACCACTCAAGCCCTATTACCATTTGCATGTTTTTATTTCCTACTTTTTATTTTTATTTATTTATTTATTTTTTTGGAGAGGTTTTTGCTATAGGGCACGTGCACTCGCCAGAAAGAGAGAGAGAGAGACAGAAAGCGAGAAATCACCCCCCAGGGGGATGGCCACACCACAATCCCTTCTCCTCCATTCTCCTCTCGGAATCTTGGGCATGCACATGCGCGCAGTGTGAGTTTAAGCCACCGGGTTCAGGACTCAAACTGTGGTCAACATAGCCATTATTGCTAACTGCTGGTCCCGAGTTCAGTGACATAGCCTTTATTGCTAACTGCTGGTCCTGAGTTCCTACTTTTTATTCTGTGTAGGCCTTTTACACAGTCTCACTGTATGTCCACTTCTGTATACAAACTGCTCATATGCGTTTGTTCACTTCCCCACAATGCAAATATTTTTACAAATACTTTAGTAACTGTTCAGTATTCTGCAATTTACTCTTTTTTTAAAGAGCTTTTTGCTATAGGGCGTGTGTGCTCACCAGAGAGAGTGAGACAGAGAGAAAGTGCGAAACCATCCGCCCAGGGGGGTATGGCCACACCGCGATCCCTTCTCTTCCATTCTCCTCTTGGAATTTTGGGCACCCACATGCCTGCACCCCGGCATGAGTTTGAAGCCCATCTGCTGGTCCCCAATATTCCATAATTTAATAATTTAACTTACTGGGGCCAGCAGGTGGCATAGTGATTAAGTTACTGAACTCCCACATGGTTGACAGTGGTGGACCCAGTGTCTTGAACTCACGCCGGGCACGTGTACATGTGTGCCCAAAATCCTGATAAGAGAATGGAGGAAAAGGGATTGTGGTATGGCCATTCCTCCTGGGAGGTGATTTCTCACTTTTTATCTGTCTTTTTCTGTCTCTCCAGCAAATGCTTATGCTCTCTAACAAAAATCTCTCTCTTAAAAAAAAAGAAATCAAAACTTAATCTACTAACCTGCAACTCACTAACTATAATCTAGCTGCAGCTAAGCCATTAGGGCACAGCCAGCTTTTTGCTGCTCGAGGGTTGTCTCTTCTACAGGAACAGCTCCCGAGGTGCGATGTTTTCCTTAGATTGGGCGCCCAGAGCGTTTCCCAGGTTAGCAGGAACGTGCCTACTCAGGCTCCCGGTCTGCAATGACCGGCCTTCTGGGAAGCCCAGCTGTCTCCCCTGCTGCAGGCTGTGGCCAGGGCCTCGCTCAGCCCCCTCACACGGGCACTCTCTGCTCAGGTCCCTGGTCCACACTCCGTCTGTGACGACATCAGACCTCTCGACACACTCCACCGCCTCACTCATCAGCAACGAGGAGCAGTTCGAAGACTACGGGGAGGGAGATGATGTGGACTGTGCTCCCAGCAGTCCCTGCCCCGACGATGAGACCAGGACCAACGTCTACTCAGACCTGGGGTCTTCAGTGTCTTCCAGGTGGCCCTTTGGTTTGGGATGGAAGTTGGGGTTCAGGAAACATGGCAGAACCAACCCAGCCTTGTCCCAGGGGCGTTCTGGTGGGCCACACTTAGGTTGATCATCCTTACGCTGTCCTGAGCCACATGGTGTCTGCTTCTGGGGCTTCGGGGTGCTGCAGGTGCCCCCAGTTGGGGGTCTGGTGTTCCTTTTCCTCCCCTTCCATCTTGGGGACGAAACAGAATCAACTGACCTGGGAGACTGGAATGGGCAGGGCACCTTTGCATCCGCTTCCTAGAGCCCTTATGTGGAAGGCTCCTTCCAAGTGACGTCTGCAGTACCTCCCCGCCCACCCAAGTCGTTACGTCCACCGCCATTAGCTGTCCATGTGCCTTATCTGTTAAACGGGCACAGCTCACTGGCTTCCCCACTCCGGGTTCACAGTACGAGGTGTCAACAGGGTGAGGGCACCAGACTGGACAGCAGGTAAGCTGGTCGCTCTCTCTCACCACTCAGCGCCGGGCAGACTCCTCGGAAGACGCGGCACGCGTACCACAGCGAGTTGCTGGATGTGTACTGCTCGCAGTGCTGCAGGAAAATCAACCTGCTCAATGACTTGGAAGCCCGGCTGAGAAACCTGAAGGCCAACAGGTGAGCACCGGGCCCTGGCTGGGGGCAAGAGGCCGGGCTGGGGCCCGCCGGAGAGGCAGCTGGCAAGGCGGCCCCTGTCTGTCTTAGTGTAAGGTTGATCCCAGGGGCTTTTTCTGCAGTAGGAAGTCAGGTTGTTCCTCCTTAGGACCACGCTGATCAGTGGGCTCCCTTCAGTGCAGGGCAAGCCTTTTCTTGCACTAAGGGGCCCTGCTGAAAATGCCTTTTCAGTGATTCTTTCTCTTTCTTTCTGTCTCTAGCCCCAACCGAAAGATCTCGAGCACAGCCTTCGGACGGTAAGGTCCCCCAGGGGAGGAGGGGCTGAGTGCCGCCCTTTAACTGTGCTCCCGGGTCTGGGTGTCCGGAACTCCATGCCAGCAGCCAGACCCAGCCGGTGGCTGAATGAGCACAGGGGAACAAGGCCACTCAGGGCAGAGTGACCACTGATCCGCTGCTGAAAACGAAGAGCCAGCCTCCCCCGCCCTGCTCCTCCCCACGTCCCTTTTTGGCAGCAGTTTGCTGCCTTGGCTGCCTCACCTCTGGCAGGTTCCCAGGGTGTCCTGAGAGACACGGCCTGCCCATGGCTGCCGGTGCCCCTCTCTGCACTCTGGAGCTGGGAGCCATACCAGAGACCCTGGGTTTCCTGCTGGTAGGAGTCCAGGCATGAGTGTACCCCCTCGGAGCCAGCCACCGTGCACCCGGTGAAGTCTGGTGCAGCCAGCTGCCTTTGGGATCCGGCTGCGCCCTGGCTCCAGTCCACACCCAGGCCTCGGGGAGCTGCCGGCCAGGTCCTGGGCATTGCCCCGGGAGCTGGGTGGGACAGCCTCTTTGTAGAGCCCTTAATGCTGCCTGTCAGGGAGTCGGGAGGTGCCATTCATTGTGTGTGGTAGGAGGTGGTGGCAGCTGGATCACTCAGGTGAGGGTGACCTTGGCAAACGGCCTGTCCCAACCCCACCTGCCTACGCAGCGCCTCCTGTCACTCTCCCCAGAGTCCCCAGCACTGTAGCAGGAGCTGGCCTGGTGGAGGGGATTGAGTCTGGCTGGGCGGCCTTAGGAGGCCCAGACCCTCTGTCCGTGCAGTGGAGCCAGGCTACCTCCTGGGTGATTTTCTGCCTGGGAGTCAAAGGGGTTCCATATGCCAGCTCTGGTCACCTGGTAACTGCTGGCCAGGACTCTGGTGCAAAGAGGGTTCTGAGGCCTCGGGAGGGAGCTCTGATTGATTGACTGCGTCTTTCAGGGGTCGGGGAGGGGTGGCAGGCCGTCTGCCATCCTCCGAGCTGCACGACCTGTTGGGCTCAGAGGTCGGAGGTTGGGCAACACTCCCCTCTGGCTGAGTGAGGGTGGCCGCCTTAAAGGGGGTTCCTGGAAGGTCCCTGCAGCCACACGCCCCATCCGTCCTCGCAGGCAGCTCATGCACAACAGCAACTTCAGCAGCAGCAATGGCAGCACTGAGGACCTGTTCCGGGACAGCATCGACTCCTGCGACAATGACCTCACAGAGAAGGTGGGCCCTAGCAGGCGGAGAGGGGATGTCACGTGTACCTGCCCCCGGGAACTGTGGGGAGCACTCGGGCTGCTGTCTGGGGACGTGGGAGACGCTACACTCGCCCTCATTAAACACAGCTGTTCTCCTCGTATGTGCTCACCTGGAGGTCTCGGTCATGAGCCTTAGTTTCTGGGTTCTCAGTCCTGGGGTCTCAAGGGTCCCCTCTACCACACCCCTATGTCCCTGCTACAGGTGAGCTTCCTGGAAAAGAAGGTGACAGAGTTGGAGAATGACAACCTGACCAATGGGGACCTGAAGAGCAAGCTGAAGCAGGAGAACACGCAGCTGGTGCACAGGTCAGGCAGGCGTCAGCTCTAGGACCTCAGCCGACCCTGGGGAGCAGAGGGCCCTGTTGCCAAGGCCCCCTGAGGGCCTTCTGGTTCCGAGGGTACATGACACATCAGTCCTCACCATATGGCCCTGCCTATACATGATGCCAGGAGGACAGGCCTTAGGGACGGGGAGACAAGCTGGAGCTTGGCCTGCACTTGAAGCCTACAGCCCCGAGGCAGGTCTGAGACAGGAGGTGGGACCGCCTGTCTCTCACTGTCATGCAGTGATGGACCCTGGCCTTCCCGGGGATGCTCCACAAGAGGGAGAGGCCCTGCGAGTTGGGCCAGGTCTGTTAGCAGTGAGAAGGGTCCAGCTGACCAAGGCCCGCTGAGCACAAGGCTCCCTGATGCTGACTCCCGAGAGGCATGGGTGGGGAGCTCTGCCATCCTCAGCAGATGGCATGAGACTGGGTAGACTTATCCTGGCCTGGTCCTTTCCTTTGAATGCCCCAGAAGTTCAGCCTCGTGGAGGGACAGTAGCCAGTGAGACACACCCCACCGTGGTTCACCAGCTCAGCCCTCAGCGTGGGCCTGGCCTTCCCCAGGTCTGGTGCGCTCCGGGCCTCTAGCAGGCGTGTGTCTTTGGAGTCCAGACGCCCAGTAAGCTGAATTATTGACCAGAAGGCACAGGAGACTAGACCTGAGGCTCGTTGACCCACTGTGGCCAGCCTTGCCGTCCCTTCGGTGCTGCCCTGAGAGGATGCCTGGGGTGCAGCTTGCTCCTCTCTGGATGGAGGGCCGGGTCTGCACTGCGCGGTCTGCCCGACACCCATCTCTTGATGTCCCAGTGCTCTCATGCATCTGTTGGCTCCCTTTGTCAGGGGCGTGAGTGACAGTGTCAGGGTCCAGCACTCCCCATGCCCCAGCCTGGGTTGGGGTAAGAGTGAGAACACACCCGTGGACTCCTCAGGGTGCATGAGCTGGAGGAGATGGTGAAGGACCAGGAGACCGCAGCTGAGCAGGCGCTGGAGGAGGAGGCCCGGCGGCACCGCGAGGCCTACGTCAAGCTGGAGAAGGAGAAGAGCACCGAGGTGGAGCTGCTCAACTCCAGGTGGGCCCCTCTCCCAGCCTCTGCCCTGAGGCACCTCACTGCCTGAGACAGCCGGGGAGCATCTTGCAGACCGGGAAACCAAGCCCACCAACAGTTCTACCTCACGCAGGCGGGCCAGCAGGTGGCGTAGTGATTACATCACTGGACTCCCACGTGGCCAACGTGGTTCAATTCCTGGACCTGGTGGCTTGAAAATCATGCTGGGTACATGAGCGCCCAAGATCCCAGAAGAACAGAGGAGGCCATCCCCCTGGGGGTGATTTCTCACTTTCTCTCTCACTGTCTCTGTCTCTTCCCCCACATTCCGGCAAGCTCATACACCCTATGGCAAAAGAAACTCTAAAACACACACACACACACACACAGGCTTGTACTTTAGGATGTATGTAGTAACTTGTTTTTGTTAGGCAAGGGAAACAACACAGATGTTTATCGGCAAGAGAACAGGTTAAAAAATAGTCTTGGGCCAGCTAATGGTGTGGTGGTTAAGGCAGCTAGATCCCATATAGCCAACTGTGTGGTTTGAGTCTGGACCTGGCAGCTTGGGAAACACACTTGGCCAAAATCCTGAGAGGAGAATGGAGGAGAACAGATTGCAGGATGGCCATCCCCCTGGGAGGTGCTTTCTCTCGCTCTTTCTCCCCTTCTTCCTCTGCTTCTCCAGTGAACGCATGTGCCCTATTGCAAGATTAAAAAACAAAAAGTCAGCTTGGTACCTGTGCAGGGTCTTATGTCCAGGCTGGGAGCGCCCCCTGCTGTCAGCTTCTTCCCTGACTGGGCACCAGGGGCCAAGGGAACTAGAACACCAGCCCTCATTGTCCACATGGCTCTGGTGTCTCAGGTATACATGTGGCTTCATCGTTGGATCCAGACAGGTGGGACCGGAGTGGCATTGCCCTGAAAGTCTGGCTCAGTCTCTACCAGCTCCGTGATGTTGGACATACTGCGCCAACTGTCTCTGTCTGCCCCGCATGGCGGCTGTGAGGGGGTGTACTCAGCTCACAAGGGTCAGTCCCTGTGTTGCGTCTTCCGGGAGTGAACCGAGTCCCACCTCGGGGTAGGCATGGGAGGGTTCCCGAGGGCCTACATGCATCTGGAGGTTCTCAGGCACCCCCTCCCCCCCGTCTGCTGAGGTCAGGAAGGCCCAGGGGAACTGGGTGAGCAGGCTTCTGTCCAACTAGCAAGACATTTCCCAAGTCCTCTGTGCCCAAGACCTGCTTTGTTAACTTATCCCCAGGGGTTCATTTTATATTTTGCTGTGAGTCCTGTAAGCTAAGGTTTTGTCTGTCTCTGGAGGCTGACACCTGAGAAGGGGTGCTGGGGGCTGAGGACCGTGTGAGAGGACTGTGTGGGCATGAGCCAGAGCACAGAGCCTGCAGAGCCTGCCCTTAGGAGTGTCTCCTGACCTGTGACCCTTGCACTGTCCAGGAGCACCACTCCTAGAATAAGCAGATGGCGCTCCTGGAGTCACACGGCGAGCTTTGTTTCTCAGCACCCCCACCCCCACCTTTGGGCAGCAGGTCTGAACTTCCTGGCCCTGGCCTGGGGGCCCCTCCTAGACAGTCCGGGGGGCAGTGGAGGCTAGGATGCTGTTGTTCCAGGCAGGAGGAAGTGGCAGTGCTCATCAGGAACCCATGCAAGAAATGACCCTGCCCACTGGGTGCCGCTGACAGCCCAACTCACCTGCACCTCTCCTGGGGTCATTTAAAACCAGCCCTAGTACCCAGGTCAGTCACTGAGTCACTTTAGACAGCCCTTTGTGCACTCCAACACCGAGGGTTATCACCGTCGGAACCAACGCCTTTGAGGACCCCGCGGCCATCCGAGGCGGCTGTAATGAGTGATCAGAGAGAAGGGCCCTGGGTGAGGTGTGGGTGGACAATGAAGAGCAAGCGTGGTCATTGCCCTCCGTGGCAGTTCCACAGGAGGCCTCCGTGAGACAGCCGTGGGAGACTGCTTCTCCAGCCAGCAGAAACACCCTACTCCCCAGGTGGCGTCAGGACTCCAAAGATGCATGCAGAAGGGATCACATGTTCTTATTCACAAATGAATGTTTTTCTTCATAAGAGATTTTCCTATAGGGTGCATGCACTCACCAGAGAGACAGACAGAAAGTGAGAAAGCACTCCCTGGGGGATGGCCACGCCACAATCCCTTCTCCATCTCCTTACGGGATTTTGCACATGTGCACCGCGTGAGTTTTAAGCAGCCAGGCTCATGACTTACATGGGAATCCAGCAACATAACCATTACGCCATCTGCTGGTCCCATGAATTCTTTTTTTTTTTTTTAAATAAAAAACACAAGCATGAGGGCAACTCATTTTCTGAGACCTCCTCTCTCCTTGGGAGCTCTGTTTCTCCTTCCCTCTCCTTTAATAAACTCCCCGCTTTGCTATACCTAAAAAATTAAAATAAAATGAGCATGATAATTCTGTCTTTACTGTCTCGCGTTGGTTGACAGGAAACTCATCCGGGACAGTTACCCATACCCTGTTCCTTTCGCGTTGGTTGACAGGAAACTCAAGGCTGTATTATCATCCGGGACAGTTACCCATACCCTGTTCCTTTTGGTTGGTGTCTTCCCTCCTCCAGGAAGCAGAAAATTGTCCCAGGTTAGCCCCTCCTCAGGAGATGATCTCCATCCCAAATTTCTGAGGTTTCTGTCCTTATTTCTTCAGGGTGCAGCAATTAGAGGAAGAAAACACAGAGCTCAGAACGACAGTGACTCGGCTCAAGTCTCAAACAGAGAAGCTGGACGAGGTGAGCAGCAGGCCCAGGGTGCAGCTGCATCCACAGGGAGGCGGTGCTCGATGAGGGGCCTTTACTTAATAGCTTCTGAGAGCCTAAAAAATGCCCCTACTACTACTACTAATAATAAAAGCAAATGACTTATCTGTATTTCTGATTTTTCCAGTTTTCTGTGGAAAATCTATTTCCTTAGATGGTAGCGTAAATCGTAGTCTTAAAGGAGAGAGGTTAGCTTCTGTTGGGGCTAACACCTCATCGGGCCCCGTTGGGCATCACTGAAGGGCGTCGGAGGCCTGATATTTTTGTGGCTGTGCTTCTACGATCATGAGCGAGCCGGCCATGTCTCTGAGCCATGCCTTTGAGGACTCTGCCCAAGGGAACTGGTCTGACCGCCCGTCTGTCATATTGAGGGGGCTGGTCAGATCTCTGGGAAGGTCCCTCGGGCACAAGGCACCCCTGCCTGGGAAGTGTCCTCCCTGACCGCGTCTCCCTGGCTCCAGGAGCGGCAGCGCATGTCCGACCGGCTCGAGGACACCAGCCTGCGGCTCAAGGATGAGATGGACCTATACAAGCGCATGATGGACAAGCTGCGCCAGAACCGCCTCGAGTTCCAGAAGGAGCGGGAAGCGACGCAGGAGGTAGGGCCTGGGCCAGAGCGTACCAGGGTTCCCTCTGGCCCTGCTCCCACCAACTGGCCTCTCTCCCTCACAGCTCATCGAGGACTTGCGGAAGGAGCTGGAGCACCTGCAGATGTATAAGCTGGACTGCGAGCGGCCGGGCAGGGGTCGTGGCGCGTCCTCCGGCCTGGGCGAGTTCAGTGCCAGGGCCCGTGAAGTGGAGCTGGAGCATGAGGTCAAGCGGCTCAAGCAGGTGGGCCCTGGGAGCCCCCGTCCAATGAGTGAAGGTGGCCAGGCCAACCGTGCAGCCTCTCTGCCCCTCAGGTCATCAGAGCCAGGCGTCCCGGTCCAGAGCTCGGAAAGAGACTGGACTCTAGGCCACAGCTGGTGCAAGGCCAGCAGTCTCTCCTTTGTGTGCACGAAGAGAAATGGTGACTTCTCTCCAGGCCTAGGGGCTTGAGGTAGAGAATGCAACCACCCCCAGTGCCTGGAGGGGGGCCCTGAACCCAAGACTCCACTTCAGGGCATTCCTAGGAGCTCCTTTCACTGGATGCCAGTCAGGGCTTGGGCAGCAGGATCAGGAGGGATAGGGACTGCGAGGGATGGGTCGGGTGTCCCAGTCCCGCCTGACTGCGGGCCAAGCCTGCAGCATGAACTATACCTCGCAGTTGGCCACAGGAGGCAAAGGTATTGGTGGCCGTCCCCCGCAGCAGTCCTATAGCCCCAGCCCTTCTCTCCAGGGGGCTCCCCAGATACGAGCATTACGAGCCTTTAGGCAACAGCTGGAACATGGGGTGGTGCGTGGGATCCCAGCAGTACACGGGGAGAGAGGGGACTCCTGCAAACAGCTCCCACTGATGATGCCGGAGCCTGGCTGCAAGGAGAGCCGAGCCGAGGCCGCCTGCCTGTTCAGAGCCCTCAGAGCGTCACCTTTCCTCTGCAAGGGCCAGTGTTGGCGCACGAGCTGCCTGGTGGGCAGGGCCCCCACACGGAGCCCCAGGGAGGAAGGGGTGTGCCGGAGCCACGTTCCTGGAAACACGGCTCCCTGCTGCTCCCAAATCCCTGAGTGTTGCTGGGAGCTGATGTCGCCTCCATCTGGCTCTGTAGGAGAACTATAAGCTGCGGGATCAGAATGACGACTTGAATGGCCAGATCTTGAGCCTCAGCCTCTATGAAGCAAAGAACCTCTTTGCTACCCAGACCAAAGCGCAGTCTCTGGCGGCGGAAATAGACACAGCCTCTCGCGATGAGGTAACTGTCCACTTGCTCTCGCTCTGGGGCCAGGGCCCTCCTCTGTGTGTCTTCCCGCCCTTTCCTCCCTGCTGTGATGAGCCCCAGAAGCAGGAAACCAGGCCAGCCCCCGCCCCTTTGCGTCCCTGTCTACAGGTAGCAGAGGGAATAGCTGTGAGGGGAGGCGGCTGCAGGAGAGGTACGGTCAGCTCTGACTTCTGCTGATGCTGGAGGAAGCAGGGCTGCAGCGTAAGAGTGGAGTGGGACTCAGCCTGCCAGGGAAGGGCCAAAGCAAGTTAGGCTATGACTCCCCTAAGTCAACTGGGGAAAGAAACCAGCACTTCTTAGGATCGCCCAGCTGTGGAGGGAGGGCCCGGGTCTCTAGCACCAGCCCTACTCTTCCCGCCACGCTGGGATGTGGTTATGCAAGATCAGGCTTCCATAAGACCCTGCAATTTCATATGAGTCTTGAGACACCCTGTCACCGAACCTTGCCTTCTGCCTGCGTCACTAAGCACTCCCAGGTGACCCAGGTACCAGCCCCTAGCCCAGGGCAGAGGCAGCATTTTAGCCATATCCTAAAGGACGTGCTGGGGGTGGCCCTGGAGAAGAGCAGTGGCAGAGCTGGGTGTGACGAGGTGGCTACCCCAGGCAGAGGTCACATGGCAGCCTCAGGAGTCAGAGGGGTCCTGGGACCTGAGTGTGAGCCCTGATGATACATGACTTTGACCAGCATTGTCAACCTTTATCAAAAATCACTCACACTTGGGACTCGGCACAAACCACAGGGCCTGGGCATCTGCGGGCGTAGTACTCCCCGGCTGGCAGTGAGCCACGGCCTTAGACGCTTAGCCTGGCATGCAGGTGCCGAGGTTGGTCTTGTGGCCTGCCATATCCAGGGTCTCCTGAGCCACTCTGTCATTGGGCCCTGACCCACTGCAAGCCTGGGCATTGGCTCTGTCCACACCCAGCCCAGGCCCAGCCCCTGACCAGTCTTTCCCCTTCCCTCCAGTTAATGGAAGCTCTGAAGGAGCAGGAGGAGATCAACTTCCGGCTGAGGCAGTACATGGACAAGATTATCCTCGCCATCCTGGACCACAACCCCTCCATCCTTGAGATCAAGCACTGAGACAGGGGGCTGGCTGCAGAGCGGCCTCAGGACCCCAGGACCAAGGGGCAGACTGTGCCCCAGGATGCAGGCCCAGGCCCGGGCCTCACACTCACACTGTAAATGTATCTCTGGCCACCATGCGTAACGTGTACTGGTGTGTTCGTGGGAGGCCACGCGTGCGTGCGAGTGTGCGAGTGAGGGGCGAAAGAGGGGCTGTGGCTGAGGGTGACATCTGTGCAGTTAGCTGTCCATGTGCTTTGTGGCCCTGTGCGAGGGCAGAGGGTCCTGGGAGGGGAAGGGACAAGGTCTGCTATCAGGAGTTACTATAATCATGAGAACTGGAAGCTGGTGTTTTGGATACCGGACAAAATGATTCTACCTCTGAGGATAAGGATTCAGAAAACTGCAGCGAGACGAACTCTTTCACCCCACGCAACCCCCGGGAGTGGGAACAAAACTATGATCTTTTCCAGGAGCTTGAATGCCCCGCACCTGTGTCCTTGCCAACCTCTCCGGCCACCTTCTAACTCCAGGTGTTCCAACTCCCTGAGGGCTCAGGTGTTCGAGCTCGGAGAAGGGCTCAAGCTCAGGAAGGGCTGTCTGGGGGGACCACGAGGAGGGCCCCCCCACACACCCTGCCCAGCAGCAGCCCCGTGGTGCATGTGCACAGAGTCCAAGGACTTGGGTGTGCAGAGGAGCTGGCCCGTAGCCACCCTCGTTCCGTAGAGTTCTCGGCAGTCTTAGCGTTGTCATCCCATGCACTCCCCCGGCCCTGCTGACCTACCTCCCTCTTTCTGTTACTGTTTTGTTTTTAAAGACAATGAGAGTGAGCAGCATTCACCTGGCTATAAAATGAAGGGGTGGGAGGAAGGAGACAGAGAGGGCTGGGGGCCAAGGCCATCTAAGGCAGGGAGTGACACTGGACGACCAAAGAGGCTGTTCGGGGAGGAGGGCCAGTCCTTCCCACGGCCGCAGCTCGGGGCAGGCGCACGGACAGAGGCACCAGCCTCGACTCCATGCAGCCTGATGACGGTGGGCCTCGGCCTTGGATTTCAGAGTCCGAGCTCTGGGTGGGGACGTAGAAACATACCTGTATTTGGTTCTCAGCCCGAGGAGCAGATGCCGTGCCAGTCAGACACGGCTGGGGAAGTCGCAGGGACCCCTCGGTCCTCCGTGCTTCGGGCGAAGGTAGGGACCTCGCAGTAGTGCAGCCCGTTCCTTTCCATTTTCCGGTTTATCTCAGTTTGATACAGCGTGTGATTCATTTCCGAAACCCACGTATGTCGCAACGTGTATGGCTTTACTTCTCCCCCTGCGGTGCGTTCTCTTGAGCTCGTTGAGAGTAAAATGGAAGGTTTGGGCATGTTGGAGAGGGGTGAATGCAGGGAAGTGAGGGGTTAGGGGGTGAAGAGGGAACCTGGGGAAAGCTGGGTGCGTTCCCTCCTCGGCAGAGGCAGGGCTGTGTCCGGGACAGTCTTCGTTCCATTCCAGTTGACTTTTGCTTCTGTTGGATTTTGTGGCACCTGAATCTTACATTTGGGGTGGTTCATGTTGCAAACTGTGAGGTCGTGTCGGTCCGACCAGGACGCGGGAGTCACCCACACCGAGACCAGGCCAGCGGGTCAGTCTCCTGGGAGTCTCTCAACTCCTTGGGCTTCCCCGAGGATCTGAGAAGAGGCGGGAGTGAAATGGAGAGTCTGCTCTTAGGGAGGAATGGCCGTGTTTAAGAAAGACACCTCCAGCCTGACTCTGGTCTGGGTTTTGTGTGGGAAACAGCTCCTGCAGAGCTGCCCAGCATGTCAGGGTCCGAGGGGGGCTTACCTCCAGGGTGAGTGTTTTATATGTGAAAGTTTCTCTTTGGCTGCGTGGGCGTGGAGTTTCGGAGGAGGCCACAGGGGCCTGAGTTCCATAGAGTCACAACAGGAGAGGGAATTTGTGCCAGGCATTTTCCGGGAGAGGAAAGAGGGTGGAAAAAGCTGACAGCCTGCAGGGGGCGCCACGGGAACAGGCTCCTGGGGAAGAGAGCCGGTTTGTAAAGGAGGGGCTCAATGCCACAGAACACACTGCAAGCCCAGTCCAGCCTCACTTTCTCCAGCCAGAAGACTCTCATAAACCTAGTCTGTCAGCTTAGCGGTTTAAGATCATGTACTGGTTTCCTTTTTTTTTTTTTTAATTTTTTTTTTAAGATTTTTGTCACAGGGTGTATGTGCTTGCTGGACACAGAGAGAGGAAGGGAGGGGAGAACTCACCCCCTAAGGGAGATGGCCACCCGGAAGTCCCTTCTTTTCTAGGGATTAACCACCACACCACCTGCTTTTTAAAAAAATGCTCTTCTGAGGGTGGAAGCTTACGTGGGTGGGGAAGGGGGACTGGTGCAGATACCCCAGAGGCCCAGCCTCACAGTCCCTGTGCAGGTCCCGAAGTGCTCTGTGGTAGGAATGGAGGATGCTCCCTGAGTTCTCGGCCTTCTCCATGCATCCTGCCGTCGGCCGTCCCGCCATGCCGTTGGCCGTCCCGCCATGCCCTCGTCTCACAGCAGTGAGGCAGCTACGGGGCAGACAGGACGCCCTGTGCCATTTGAATTCCAAATAAGTTTTCAGAATAAATACGTCCCGTGATACTTGGGATATACTTAAAATGAAATTGATGACTAAGCTGAACCCCCGGACACTCTGGCTTCATTGGCGTGGCCCAGGGATCTGATTTCTTTTTTTAAGAGCTCCCTAGGATGACTCTCACTTAACTGGGTGTCCCAAGCAGAAGGTTTTGGTTTTGCTTCTGTTGTTTGTTTTTGCTACACCTGACAACACTTTCAAGTAAAGCAGGGATGAACGGAAACTTGGCTGAAGGTTAGAGCTGTTCCCGTGGGCGGATCGAGGGTTTTTAGAGTAGATTCACGTTTTAGGTGACACTGAACTGTCTTTATGGTTCAGTTGGAGGCCAAAAGAAATGAGTAAAACCAGCAAGGAGTTTAATATTCAGTCTCTAGTGGAAAAGGAAACGCGTTCTGGTCCAGCCAGGCCCTATTCGTGGGCAGGTATAAGAAAGTTCTAGTAAAAATTAAATGTTTTTTTATTTTCCTTTTGACTTTATTTTATCTACTAAAACACAAAACTCAGGGATCCTCCCAGAGTTCTTGGTCCTAAAACAGTGGTTTTCCACTTTCGCCGGCATTGCCGTCACCTGGGGAGCGTTTTAAAGTCCTGCTGCTAGGTAGAACCCCCCGAGGGTTGGGTTTAATTGGTGCGGGCTGTGGCCCAAGGTTGAAATAACCCCTGTCCTAGGAGGCTGTAGGCCAGGAGTAGAGAGAACTGGTGGACGTGGCTGGTGGGCTCGTTAAGCCAGGTACAAGTTCTCCTGCCAGGCCGTGGCTTTCCCTGGTAGATGTTCAGTCATGTGATGGCCTCCTCCTTGGGATGGGAGGCAAGGTGCCTTCAGGAGCTGGCGGATCCAGCTGTTCTCACCAGCCTGGAGGTTGGGAAATCGGAGCAGGTGGGCAGCATCTCCCCCTGGTGCCCCTGGAGTCAGCAGGTAACACGTGTTGGGATATGCTGACCACGGGCCCATTCCAGCGTGGGAGGTACAAGAAGGTCAGCTGGGAACTGACGTGAGTTGTCCCCGTGCAGGCAGCTCAGGAATGGCAGCTGCCTCCCACACAGCTGTGCAGGACGGGGTCCTGACTGTGTGGGTTGGCCTCTGCTCTGGATAGACGAGGGACGTCCCAGCCTCTCCCTTGTTAGCAGCCAAGCCAGCATCCTGGCGCACACCCTGGGCTCTGGCACTAGTCCACTGGTGAGTCTGGGGCCTGGCCTAGCCAGGTCTTGGAGGTCCAGTGAGGCCCAAGTGTAGGCCCTTTGTTCCAGTGAGAGGCTTAGTACCCAACAAAGCTTACAGGAGTCAGTAGGCCCTGGTGAGCCAGGGAGAAAAGCAGTCCCCTCTGTGCTGTGTGCATATGTGTTTAATGCATTAGCAAATCCAAACCTAAAAACTGAGTCTAGATGTGATTGGATCAGAGGATAGTTTTGGGTGGTCACCACGCCAAAGAAATTACTTTGGCCACCTGGCGGATGCACGGTGACTCTTCTGGAGGACTGATGTAGATTTTAGATTGAGGAGAGGGGCCCTCTGGGACTTCAGAGCTGGTGTCCT